TGTGTGAGTGTGTGAGTGTGTGAGTGAGTGAGTGAGAGAGAGAGAGTGTGTGTGTGTGTGTGTGTGTGAGTGAGCGAGCGAGCGTGTGTGTGTGTGTGTGTGTGTGTGTGTGTGTGTGTTAAACAGACCGTGTGAGCTACTGTAAATACAGAGGCAGGTTTTTTTCCTCAAGGAGAACATGTGCTCTTAATTTGAAGAATTCAGGATCACACGAGGAACTTTAGGAGCACAATAAAATGTATTTTTCCTTAGTAAAAGGATACAATGAGACATTTACAAGCAAAATTTATTTATTTGAATACTAAAAATACACTAGGATTTTAAATATTTCTACTTCAAACTGTGTTTGTTTAATAATTAGTGGAATTGATATTTTAAACAGAGAATTATCAATCTAATTGTGCACCGTTGTGATACAGCTAATTGTGTAACTAAAAAACAGCCAGAAAACAATAGTGGATAATGTGGGACCTTTAATTATAAACAAGCTTGAAATACACTTAAGACTCTTATTTTGAAATGTTGTATCGCAATTCCAGTTTTCTTCCCCCAGGACTAGGGGTCAACCGATTATCAGCCTGGACGATTATCGGCGCCGATATTAAGCATTTTTATGATTATCGGTCATTTTCAAAACCGATACGCCGATAAAATAACTTAATTTTGAAATGCGCTATTTGGCTCTGATGCAGCCTGTCAGAACTCACCACTCCGTGGCCTAAAGCAGTCTCCGCCCACCGCTCATCTGATTTGTTGGGAGTCACGAGTCCGACCAATCAATGCGGAATTCACTCTCACTCCGAAAGCGCTTGCTAACTGGAGCTGCTTCAGTGATCGCGCATCAGTTGTCTCTCAAAGGTAAGGCAGCAGCAGACGTTGCTTAAGTTGCAATAAATCCCAATCCACTAATGGTACACTGAAGTTGCAAAACACCTCAATATTATCTATGATTTCCGCGATGCAGAAAACGCGTACAGAATCGCGGAATCCAGTCATATAAATGGAATTTACTGTATGACGCGGAATGTCACGGAATTTGTCAAAGTTTGGATGAATTAATCAAAAGTAAAAAAGTTTGTTTTTTTAATTAGGAGGACAAGCGCTCTTGATTACAAGAAGAAAAACACTGCTCTTAAACTGGGTGTGTGACGGCCTGTTTAGATTCTCAGCATCAGCCAGAAACACGCAGAAGCTCGTGTCAGAGAGAAAATACACTGACAGCCAACACTGCTTCAAACTGGACATTTTCCAGTAAATATTGTGAAAATGTGTTAAGATGTTTTATGAACTTCTCATTGTGTGTGTGTGTGTGTGTGTGTGTGTGTGTGTGTGTGTGTGTGTGT